TATGCAAGAAATATTGTGAAGAAATTTGGTTTGGAGAATGCCAGCAATAAGAGAACGCCTGCTCCTACACACCGAAGTTATCTAAAGATGAAAAATGAGTTAGTGTTGATCATAGTTTGTATAGAAGCATGATTGACAACCTTATATATCTTACTGCTAGTAGACCAGACATCACTTTTGTTGTTGGAGTGTGCACAATATATCAAGTAGATCCTAAGGTAAGTCACATTAACCAAGTGAAAAGGATTATCAAGTATGTGAATGGGACATGTGACTATGGTATGTTGTATTCCCACGATACAAATTCCTCGTTGGTGGATTTTTGTGATGCTGATTGGGTTGGAAGTGCTGATGATAGGAAGAGTACCTTTGAAGGATGTTTCTTTATGGGAAACAACTTCATCTCTTGGTTCAGTAAGAAACAAAATTGTGTTTCTCTATCTACTACAGAAGTTGAGTATATAGCAGCAGGAAGCAGTTGCTCTCAACTGGTGTGGATGAAGCAAATGTTGTCTGAATACAATGTCACATAAGATGTTATGAAATTATTTTGTAACAATTTGAGTTCTATAAATATTTTCAAAAATCCTATTCAACAGAGTAGGACCAAGCACATTTACATCAGACATCATTTCATCAGAGAACTTGTGGAGGGAAAACTTATAAAGCTTGAGCATGTTAGTATGGAGAATCAGCTTGTTGATATCTTTACAAAAGCTCTTGATGCTGCTCAATTTGAGAACCTAAGGATGAGACCAGTGATCTGTATCTATGAAGAGCTATAGCAATTACTGTTGGTGTTGCATCTTTTGTTAAGGATGCTAAGTATGGTGATGCACCTGATGAATATTATGTCAGTGCTATTGAGAAAAAAGAAGATGCTAATGCATGACATTCGGCCATGTGATTTTTCTTAGATGTATCTTATGATTATGTTTATTTTGGTTTATGATTTTATAAGGGCTAAATGCCCAAGAGATTTTTAAGTTTTTTCACCCTGCTACTAAAACTTTAGGTGCTTAAGTTTTTTTTGTTGCTACTATTGTCTACTTACCTTTGTAATATTATGGCTATAAAAGGGGGCGTAATATGATTCTCTGTTTTATGATAGCAGGTGTTGATGGGGAGTTCTTGTTATTCTGAAGAGATGTCATACATGATATCTTGACATCATGGTGTTGAAAACTTAGTTTATTTATTTTGTTATTGTAGTTGTGTTGTAGATCAACTAACTACTAACTATCTGATTTGTGTGTTGCTGATTTGTGTGTTGCTAACCTTGCCTATGTTTTTTTCGCTGCTATACTTTTGATGCGTGTGTTTTATTTATTTTCAAGCATACTTTATTGTGCAAGGATTATTTGGGTGTTTTAGCCAAAATATGCCAAAGGGAAAGATTGTTATTTCTCTGAAATTATGATTGACATACATTTTGGTAAAACCAACTTAGTGTCCAAGATTGACAAATCAGAATATTTTATGTTTGTTTTTGAAGACTTGCATAGTTTCTAAATATGGAGATATTTTAGGAAACTTATGATTGAAGACCTATTTTCTTGGAGAATATTTTTCCGACTTTGTGCAGCCTCACTGCTGCGGTTTTGAAGCCCAACCCAGTCCAGAATAAATTTATAAATAGGCTGGTGTAAACCTAGTATTAGGTAGAACTTACGTGTCTATTTTTGTTAGGATTTTAGAATCCTTATTAATGAGTTGTAAGTTCTGTGTCAGATGTTTATAAGCTTTTAAGCATTGAGTATTGAACATTTGTGTGGCAGATGTTCATAAGTTGTTAAGCATTGAGTATTTGTGTGTCAATTCTCATAAGCTTTTAAGCATTGAGTTTTGTGTGTCTTGGACTAGTGACTTCCGATTTTGTTCTCTACTTGTGTTTAGAGTTTCCCTAATTGTTGAGTGTAATTGAAGAGGGATTTGAGTAGGGCCTCATACATATGTGTGTCTTAAGTAGAATTTAAGCAAAGGGTAGTGATTAAGTGCGTAGGATGTAAATTGGGATGCTTGTTATGACGTCTACAAATTGATACTATCTAGTTAATTTCGTCTCTGGCTTGGTAGATCCTAGAGTATGTGTTAAACATATCTCGTGTTATTTACTTTCAACATTGTTTGTTTTTCTATACATGTTGTTTTTGCGGGTGAAGTCGAATCTGGTGTCTCGACATCTCTTAGGACATCCGAGATCTGATAGTCAGAATTTCAGTGTCCATAGAGGGAGACTTTTGTCCACAAAAATACGGTTTGTGTTATCACAATATTCTTAGTGTTAATATAAGAACCTATTGAATTAACTTAGTTGATCCAACTTGTGAGTACAACTTCATCATCAAATTTTTGCATGATGTCAAAATTGGAGAGAAATTCAACCAAAAATATATATATTTTATTTTTGGATTACAACATGAATATCACTCTCTTGGAAAAAATAGTGTACAGATGAACATATTGAAAAACTTAAAAGTGAACATTTAAAGAAACAATACATTTGAATATTTTAGACAATAGACCCAATATACTATGCAATATATTTTAAAAATGTTTCAAAATACTTATTAGGACAAATGAATAAAAAATCACAACATATTGAAACAACTAACTATTACAAAGAAGAGAAACAAACCCACGACGCAAACAAAATATGCAAAAGATTAACATGGATTTTAACGAACACAAACAGAAACACAAAGATAAATATAAACACAAACACAAACATAAATAGATATATAAGCACAAACACAAATATGAATATGAGCTTAGAGCATGATTATCGGTGTTCTTTGAGAGTTCCTACACATTTATTAAAGAAATTGTGTCAATAATAAATGAATATTTCACTTGTTTTCACGTTTCAGAACTAAAGCACGTCCTCATACTAAAGCACGCTTCTACACTCCAATTAAGTGGATCATGATAATAAATTAATAAATAAAATTGCAAGAATGTAGTTAATTTGTTTTAAATGTGGGACCCATTTTAGATTTTTTTATGAGTTATATGGATATTTGAGAATTGTAGATGGGTTGTTTAAAAAATTAAGAAGTGTGAAATAATATAAAAAATTATGTGGGTCCCATTTAAAGAATCCAAATGGGTATGATGAATGTGGATGCTCTTAGTAAACACAAACTCAAAGATAAACCAACACAAACAAAAACACAAAGATAAATATAAACGTAAATCAAAACACAAAAATAAACACAAACATAAATACAAACACAAACACAAATGAACACGAACACAAATATGATATTTTTTTCTGTTGTACCAAGAGAAAAAAAATACAATCACAAAAAACCAAATCGAACAAATATTTATTTTACGAAAGAAATGAACTTTGCTTCGGTTGGTAAATGAAATGTGGATTTTAGTTTACTTCGAAAATGAATAAATATTTTCCATCAGTTGAGATGTGGATTTGAGTTTACTTGGAAAATGAAGAAAAAAATCGATTTAGTTTTTTACATAGAGGAGGAAGAGAAAGAGAAAAGAAAGAAGAAGAGGAAGACAAAGATAATTCTGGTAGTGAAAGAAGTGAGAGAAGAGGGGAGTGAAAAGAGAGATGTGAGAAGTGAGAGAAAAGAGAAAAAGAAATTTGTCAAATGATTTCAAATAGTTAGCTTTTTGGAAACCCAAAATTTAACAATTGATTTCAATTGAAATGTGTTTTGGAAAAGCAAGGTAAAATCGGAAACTAAATAGACATGAAAGTGAAAATAATAGTTATATTTAAAAGAGGCATCAAAATAGTTAGAAAAAGCATTTTTAGGACATGATTTAACCCAAAAAAAGAGGTGTTTGATTTTCAACAAAGGTTAAAAATGGAATTTTCAGAGGCATTTGTGTTCTTATATTATAGATATATATTTTAATTTTATTTAGTGTAATAAACATTGTAATTGAGACGATAAGATGAAGAGAATAAAAGAGAGAGAACAATTTTAAACAGAAAAAAATATGTTTGAAATATAGAAATGATAAACAAGACACTGCTATTTAAATTTTAAAATGTGAAATAAGTGTAAATATATTTCTATAATTTTATTTTATATTTTTTTTTATATATATTTTTCAATATTTTTAAAAATGTTAAATCTTTATTATTTTATGAATGAGAGAAATTCTACATTCAAACAACTATGATGATATGCAATAAATCATCATAGTCAAAATTTTCAATAATTTTATTTCATCTTTTCTTTCTTTTTTTTTTCAATATTTTCAAAAATGTTAAATCTTCATTATTTTATGAATGAAGAAAATTCTACATTCGAACGACTCAGACCTTATGCAACAAACAATCTTTATCAAAATTTTCAATAATTTTGTTTTACATTTCTTTTTATTTTATTTTACTCTAAATTTAATAATATAACCTAATGATTTGGAATAAAATACAAAATTTGTTTATATCGACTGAAATAATATAACTATATTAAGTAAATATTAATTTTATTTTCAAGAATATATTAATAATGATGAAATAGATGAAAAGATTGCAAGAAAAATATATAAATTATTTAATAAAATTTATAAAATTATTTTATATCAAAATTATTAGGAATTAGTTGTTAAATTAATAGATTTGTGTAGTTAGCGTGTGTTAAATCTATGATCTCTTATAGAGAATAAATTTTTTTGAAGAGTGAAGATGAATTTTTAAACGTGTCACATAAAAATATATTTGATGTGGCATAATTATATTTGATGTGATATAATTTAAATGATATAGATAAGAATTCGCAATTCATTCAATTTAGTCTACAAGGTTACAATTGAAGGCACAAGTAGTAGCTGCAGTACCATCCAATTCATCACATGGGTGGGGGAGAGAAGATAATTGTTCATAGTCAATATTCATTAAATGACAACTAATAAATAGTTACATAACAAGCAATTTATATTTCAAAGTTGAGGTATTACATCTAAATCATTCTCTTCTTCTTCTTCTTGTTCATAGTCTATCATAGGTTACGTTTCAAACAATGTTTTCCCTTCTATTTCTACTTCTTCTATGTCTAATTTTTCCTTTGCTAATATTCTTCCACAGACATGGAACCACTAAAAATCTTCCACCTGGTCCTAAAGGCCTTCCCATAATAGGAAATCTTCATCAACTAGACATTTCTAAACTTTATCTTCAATTATCAGAATTCTCAAAAATATATGGTCCTATATTTTCACTTCAACTTGGTTTTAGACAAGCTATTGTTGTTTCTTCAGGTGAAATTGCAAAAGAAGTATTGAAAAACAAGGGTGATGTGTTTTCTAATAGACCTATGTTATATAGTCAACAAAAGTTAACTTATAATGGGTCAGAAATGGTGTTTGCTCCTTATGGTGAAGTTTGGAGAGAACTAAGAAAAATTTGTGTTTTTCATATTTTTAGTTCCAAACGTGTATCATATTATTCTTGTATAAGAAAGATTGAGGTGAAGAAAATGATCAAGAAAATTTCCGAGCATGCTAGTTGTTCAAGTAATATAAATTTGAGTGAGTTATTGATTTCACTCTCAAGTACTATAATATGTAGAATTGCTTTTGGGAAAAGCTATGAGGATGAAGGACATGAGAGAAGTAGGTTTCATGGATTGTTGCATGAATTTCAAGCTTTGTTAGCAGAATTCTTTGTTGCTGATTATATTCCATACATGGGTTGGATTGATAAAGTGAGGGGATTGCATGGTCGAGTTGATAGATGTTTCAATGAATTTGATGAATTTTATCAAGAGATTATTGATCAACATTTGGATCCAAATAGAGAGCATGGAGATGAAGATGTTATTGTTGATGTGTTACTCAAATTGAAGAAACAAAATGTGTCTTCAATTGATCTCACTTTTGATCACATCAAAGGAGTCCTTGTGGTATGATATTTTAATTCATTTTCCTTCTTAACTGTATAATTTTTAATATTTGAAAAATTAAATATTATAAGGATAATGAACTAGATAGACATAAGGATAATGATTTGTTTTAGATAATTTAATACAAACACATAATGCAAGTATCTATTTAAAGAAAATTGGCATGTAGCAAATTGTCAATCCAAATCTCAGACAAAAAAAAAATAAAAAATTCAACCTGCTTCAAAATTGCCGACATGGCGAGGCCCCATTTTGTAGCTATACAAAAAATATTCTACTTAGAATAATGTAAAATATTTATCTTACATGTTTTGTTTATGCTTTGTTTTTTTTTAGGACATGCTTGTAGCCGCAACAGATACCACATCAGCCACATCTGTTTGGACTTTAACTGCCCTAATAAAAAATCCAAGAGTAATGAATAAATTACAAGAGGAAATTAGAAGTATTGGAGGTAAAAAAGAATTCTTAGATGAAAATGATATTGGGAATTTCCCTTTTTTGAGGGCAGTGATAAAAGAGACATTAAGATTGTACTTACCAGCTCCACTTCTTGTACCAAGAGAATCAAGTGAAAATTGCACTATTAATGGCTATAACATTCCAGCCAACACAATATTATATGTGAATGCTTGGGCTATTCAGAGAGACTCTGATATTTGGAAAAATTCAGAAGAGTTTTATCCCGAAAGATTCTTAGAAAATTCTATAAGTTTTCTTGGACAGAATTTTGAACTAATTCCCTTTGGAGCTGGTCATAGAATTTGCCCTGGTTTGTCTATGGCTGTTGCTTCAATAGAACTTATCCTTGCAAATCTTCTATATTCATTTGATTGGAAATTGCCACACGGGTTGGTAAAAGAAGATATTGATACTGAAATGTTGACAGGAATCACTCAACACAAGAAAAATCCTCTTTACCTAGTTGCCAAGAGCTCAATGTAGATGCATCCATTTTCATAAAGTTTTTGTTGGATTTGAATTTTATCCATGTATGTGACTTTGATGAAGTAATGTAAAATATTATTTTATTTAGAATGATTAATGATTATCAAGTTAAACTAGATTTCGTGTTGTATTTTGAATTGTCATCCTTTATTAAATTTTCTGTTGAACACAAGTGAAACATCAAAATTATAACCATCGTTTCTTATCTCTATTAGAGAGTCTTGAAAAGTCGGGAATACTAATGAGACAAATGCTCCAGAACTACAAGAGAGTAAGACACCATATCTCAACCTTAAATTTTAAAGTGTTAGGTAAATATGTTATCTCTTTTATAAATTCAACATTTCACCTATTCATAGGCAATGCAGGTCTTTAACCAGTCACACTTGCATCAAACATTCTCTACCACAAGTGTGAGTCTCCACATCCTATAACATGATCTAACACCAGATCCAGCTCCCGCTCTCCACCAAGCCGAACCACGACTCTGATACTAGCTCTTAAGAAAAAACAAACAAATCATAGAGAAAAAAATAGGAACACAATCACAACACAAAGATATAATAGGAAATAAATAGAAAATTAAATAAAGTAGACTAAACAATGTGTAGAAGATGATCAATAATTGACTCCATGTCCATTGCTCTATCTCATGCAAAACTCTACAAGTCAAATTGGTTCGGTAAACTTTGCTCATTAGTCTCTTCCCACGCGGCTATCTATTTTTCTATGTTGTTTTATTCTTCAAAGTCTAAATTTCCGCAAATCTAAACACTAATTTCGTTGACCTAACAAATTTCTGGATTTGAATTTTATCCATGTATGTGACTTTGATGGAGTAATGTAAAATATTATTTTATTTAGAATGATTAATGATTATCATGTTAAACTAGATTTTGTGTTGTATTTTGAATCGTCATCCTTTACTAAATTTTCTGTCGAACACAACTGAAATATCAAAATTATAACTATCGTTTCCTATCTCTATTTGAGAGTTTGTAAAAGTTAGGAGTACTAATGAGACAAATACTCTAGGACCACAAGAGAGTGAGACACTACAAGAATAACGTGATTCAGTTGGGGCAAATGGCTAGGAGTTAAGCCCCTAGCTAAATTTTTAACATTAGTTTGGAGTTATCCCCTGTCTAAATAATATACAATTTTTTTTTTTAAATTTGGAGCTCCCCGTAGCTAAATTTTAGGAGGGAGTTTGAAAATAAATCCGTTGGCCATTTGTTAGGGGGTGGCACGTGGGAAAAAGAAAAATCATTTAGCGAGGGAGTATCACCTCGCCAATAAAAATAGTCGTTGGGCATTTGCGAGGGGCCATCATCTCGCCAATAAATAAGTAGTTTTACTAGGGGCTAACCCCAAACCCATTTTTACATCACTGCTACGTCTCTGAACTAGCTCTGAACTAGCTTGCGTGTTGCAGGGAAACAACATTTGTTGTCAGCTAGCGAGGAGCTAGCCCCAAGCTAATTATGGTACCGTTTGACACTTAGCGAGGGGCTAACCCCAAGCAAAGTTTTGTACCGTTTGTGCACTATATCTTCCTCTTTCTCTTCCATTTATTTCATACACTATCCAAATTTCTTCTTCTTTCTTCTCTGCAACTCTCATCCTCCTCTTTTCCTTCATTTTTTCTCTCCATTAATCCTACATTTTACTCTATTGCAAGCTTTAATTTTCTATTTCAAAGGTAATAAAATTATTTCTATATGTTATTTAAGATATATATTGTTATATTAATTTATAAACTCTAATTTTTGTTGAATTAAATTCGTAGGTATTATTATATTTTTCTCCATCAACACTAGCTTTGTTTAATAAAGCTTCAAGGTATGTAATTTATTTTATTTTTTTATTGAAATTTTTTCTGAATTATATATTATATTTAGGTAAATTAAATTGGTTTAGATATGTATTAGATTTAGTTGATATAATTATATACGTTAGATTTAGTTTATATATATTTAATTAATTGTTATTATGAAAATACAATATATATTTTATATTTTTTTTATCTCAAATATATATTAAAACAGTTTATATATTATTTTTTTTATTCCAAAAATATATTTATTATATTAAATAGTATATTAAAACAGTTTATATATTATATATTTTTTTATTCCGAAAATATATTATATATTATATATTTCATTATATTAAATAGATTATTAAAACAGTTTATATATTTAATTATATTAAATAGTTTATATATTATATATTATATATTATATATTATATATCATAAAAACAGTTTATATAAAAACAGTTTATTTAGATTATAAATAGTATATTCTTAGTTATTTTGAAAAATATTATATATTTAATTTATATTAAAAAATATATATTTAGCTTATATAAAATATAATAAATATTTAATTAATCTAAATAATAGTATATTTAGTTTATAGAAAAAACAGTATATATTTAATTTATATCTAACTTAAATACTTAGTATATTTAGTAAATATTTAGTTTAAATAAAATATAATATATTTAATTTATATAAAAAAACAGTATATTTAGTTTATAAATAGTTTACTTAGTTATTTTGGAAAACAATATATATTTAGTTTATATAAAAATGGTATATTTAATTTATATAAAATATGCCAAATATATAGTTAATCTATATAATATTAGTATATTTAGTTTATAGAAAAAACGGTATATTTAGTTTATATGTAATTTAAATATTTAGTATAAATAAAACATAATATATTTAATTTATATAAAAAATAGTATACTTACTTATTTAAAAAAATAGTATACTTACTTATTTAGTATATAAAAAAAGTATATTTAATTTAAATAAAACATAATATATTTAATTTATATAAAAAAATAGTATATTTACGTTTATAATTTAAAAAATAAATTATGGTTTTTAGCTTGGGGTAAACCCCCTAGCTAATATCACATGTACTATGCACCTTTCTGCACGCTTCCTTCCTACATACTCCCTGCGTTTACTGAGCGTCTGCGCCAAAAGCAGGATGGTATTTAGCTAGGGGTAAAGCCCCTAGCCAATGCTAATTGGCTACGTGTTTAGCCCCTCGTCCCTTATCTGCGACCAGTGATTTAGCTAGGGGACATAACCCCTTGCAAATGTTGATTTTGTGAGGTATTTTTTTACTAGAGTTAAACTCTTAGCTAAAGGTATTTTTTCTTGTAGTGAGACATCACATCTCAACCCTAAATCTTAAGATGTTAGGTAAATAGGTTATCTCTTTTATAAATCCAACATTTCACCCATTCATAGGTAATGTGGGACTTTAACCACTCGCACTTGCATCCAACATTCTCTCCCCACAAGCGTGAGTCTCCACATCCTATAACAGGATCTAACACCGAATCCAACTCCAGCTCTCCACCAAGCTGAACCACGACTCTGATACTAGTTCTTAAGAAAAAACAATCAAATCATAGAGAAAAATATAGGAACACAATCACAACACAAAGATATAACGTGGAAACTCCAAAACCAAAGAAAAAATCACGACCGTTGTCAATTGACAACCAAAGAATAATACTATGTGAAAATTGTTACAACACATAATTTACTCTCAATCACTCCACAACTCTCAATACACCCACACTCTCCAAAGTAAATATTTAACTACATCTCATAATACTCTAACACAAGAGCATAAGTAAAAGAAAAAAGAAAATATAAACTTAAAATGTTTTTGACCGGTACATCTTGTAAAGAAAACTTGAATCCTATATATAGTCTTAGATTCACTCTTCAATCACTAAACTAAGTGATGTGGGACTATGAAGACTTTAATCCTATATATAGCCTTGCACTCCCTCTTCCTTTACAAAAATAACCGATGTGAGACTTATTCAACATGTATATTTTCAACCAACCCCAACAGTCTCTTGGGGTCTGGTTTCATCAAAAGCCACATGCAAAGACTTTTCAACAACAAATGTTCTATTTTTAAATACCTATACGCTTTACTAAATGAGAAATATCCTAGAAAGATTCCTGTAGCGGTATAAATGTTGAGACTAAGTCATTGGATTGACTTAACTTACAAAATCAGTGAAAGTCGCCACCATACTTTACTTTATCCAAAGGAAATGGGAAACGAGCGAATAAACCTAAAGTAAAATAGAGATTGAGGTAAGGGGGTTGGTTATGCAAAGGGAAGATATTAACACCCTGAACATCTACGGTACTCCGGAAGAACCTCTTTGAAAATCTATGTATTTTGCTATAAAGAAATATGTACAAAATAGATGATGGAGGTGAGAAATAAGTGTTTTAATTAATTTTTGAACTCCTTCCGGTTGTGAACCTTTTGTACCTAGATACCACCTTTCGTGCGATAGGGGATTAGGCACTCGTAGTTCTTCTTAAAAATTTTGAAAAGTTTTGTGTGTTTGTTAATTTTAAGAGAAGAGACATCTCGTCATATTCGAGTAGAAAACATACTTATTACCAATTAGAAATCACTCAACACCCAAGTGGAAAATAGCTCACTTCACTACATATTATAGAAGTATAGTTTGCATCACTACAAGAATCAACAAGAGTCTAATCATTGCAAAAGTTTTAAAATAAAAAGCCAAAGTGGCAAAATAGTTTGAATGAATTTAATGACTTTTAGTCTTCTAAAAAGATATCAAAGTATGATTAAATTGATTAAAGGTTTGATTAAGAAAAAGATTTTTGAAAATGCATGGACCTAAGTCCAAGTTTATTACGAAAGTGCTTCAAGTTTAAAAACAAGAAAAGTTTTGAAAAGGAGGGAGAAGATTTTGAAATTAAAGAAGATAGGAGGAGATGAAGGGACTATCCTATGTACACAAAGTAAAAGCAAAGATAAGGAAAGGTCTAACCAAATAAGAAGTCAACACTTTACATTATGAAGTCAATGTAGATTTCTCATCCTTTGGATTAAAAGCCACAAGTACCAAATAGACTAAGAGAATACCAATCATCCATGTGAAAATAAATTACAAGAAAAAAAGTA